CTGAATTGACCTAAAAGAGGAAGAAATTTAGTTTCTTCAGTTTTTTTCCCCGACAGTGGGAAAAAAACTGAAGTTCATTTATGCAGCGTATGTAACCATTTGTTTTCTCTCTATGTGTGTGTTACTGATGAATATATATATATATATATATATATATGTTTTATTCTTTCATTTGACTTTAAATTTGAAAAAAAAAGTGGGTGGAATAAATACCCACGCTGTTCTGGTTAAAGGCAGCACGTTCTCAGGCTGACAGTAGCTACACAAATGTGTTTCGACATGTGTGTGGGTGTGTGTTTGATCTTTTTTCAATCGCATGACAAAGTACTTTGAGGTTACCCTTTGGCCTTAACTCAAACTGAAATGGATTTTGTCCCGATGCCTTTAAATATCCTCTTTGTGAAACGTTACCCATGTGCATTCTCGAACTTTGGCAATCTCACATAATACTTGGAACTTTATTGCTTTATGAGCACTATCCAGTACGCGGAAAATCACAGATAATGGGCTAAGATTTACATTAGCTAATGTAACGTGCCGAGCCATTTGTGACCACTGCAAGCCCAGCATATCAGTTTGTATTGAATATGGATGTACTTGAGCTCAGAGGACATGATAAAATATGCTTTTCTCTGCAGATTCCTGGTTGGTTGTTGATGTGATTATAAATGAAAATATAGTGCAGTTGCTATTTTTTCTCTCTTTAACTATTCCAAAGTTCAGTCTCATGTCTGACAGTGGTGGTCCAAAAAAACTGACTTTTCCGATGAGAACTACAGCTTGGTGGGAGGATCTCTTGATTTTGCAGTCCACAAATTTGGCCTTCATGTTAAGGATCTGGAATAAATCCATTGTTTATAGACAGCTACATACAGGGCAATGCTGGAAAATAAGTCTCGTAAAAGTCTGAAAAAGAATGAAGAGATCTGTGAAAAGCAGCAATTTTACAGTTGGACTTTGACTGGGCCTTCTAAAATACGGACAGGATTGACTTCATGTTTCAGGACGCTGCCCTGCTGAAAGATGGACCTCCAGCAATGTCTCTGCGCTTGAGCTATTTTGCAAAGAAGAGTGAGCAACATGTTGGTGCCCTCAAGTACAGAACTGAAAGAGACAAACTCCTGGAGACCTGCATCAGCAATGGCAATAAAAGCAGGTTGTGCAAAAATATTTACCCAGAAAGGCTTAATGCAAATCAGTGTCACACCTCGCAGATTTTTATTTGTAAAGAAAATTTACTCATCTCTCATTTTTCTTTATTGCAGTACTTGGAATTACTATATCAGAGAAAAACCCTAAACAAAATACAATTAAGTTTATTGCTGTAATGTGAAGAAGTCCAAGGAGCAAATATGATCCCGCAGAAACTCACATAGCATTTTTTTTTTTGCCTTGAGCACAGTAACTTTATCAAAGTAGCCTTTCAGCAGACACAGGCATAAAGCCAGGAAGGCCTTTGTTGCAGAATGTTGCTGAATCCCTCAAGAGCCAAAGGAAGAGCATGGAGGTCATAAAACCAGGAATGTTAATATTTCTTCCAGACATCCTACAGCTTTTCTGCGCATCTCTGTAGGACTGTGTAACATATGAGCGAGCTGACACCGTTCCTCCCTTTTCTAACGCAAACTCATTTATTTTCATGCTTTTTTCTTCTTTTTTTTTAACCAAACATCTGTCGTCACTCTCCCTCCGTGTGTCCATCTGGAGGTGAAGCAATAAAGAAAGTTAATTACATCAATGAGGTTCAACGAACATCGTCATGTTTCTGCATGGACCGGATTGCATAATGACAGTTTTAAACTGATATTTACCCAAAGCGACTGAGTGGACCGCACCCTGACATAATCTTTTATTTATTGAGGAGTTTCATTTCTCATGTGAAATGGTTCCTCAGAACAAAAACAACCTAAGAGTTGGGCAGTACGAAGCTTACGGTAAAGCCGCTCAATTGTTTAACAGTTTGTTTTATTGCAGTGCCTTGCAAACGTATTCATACTTCTCAAAGTTTTTTGTGTGTTTTTATATGTTGTGAGCACATTCTTGAAGCTCACAACATATAAAGAATCTTTAGATTTAGATTACCGTGAAGTGGACGAACATTTCAAAACTGTTTACAAATGCAAATTTGAACACTGTAGGATGTGTTCATGTCTTTAGATTTTTGTATGTGAAATATTCCACTGTAACTCTGGCTTCATGATTAAGTTCCTACCATTCAGGAAAACGATCCACTGATCTAAACTATTTTCTGTTTTCGCTGGCTGTTTTTGAGGATTGTCCTGCTGGAAAATTTACCCTCACTCCATTCATTTGTTATTTCACAACCTCTACCAGATTTTCTTGCAGGAATCTCCTTGCTTTTATCTTCATCCAACTTCCCAATGCTTCTTGTGACACCGTTTCTTATCTAAAATTCTCTTATAAACCACTGAAAAACCATTTAAATAGAGGTGATGTTGACTGCAAAGAGAAGCGAGTCTTATCGCCTCTATTTTGAACTGTGAGGGACAGGGAGGTCCAGTATTTTTGATGTATCATGCCTCATTTGGCGGTGTTTTTGAATCATGGCCTTCACAAAAGGTGCAGGTACTCATTGAACATCGGTTTTGTTCACACTACTTTGCGCAACCCTGTGACAGAGTAACTGCATGAACTGCTGCTTCGGGCATTTTAGTAAATGTCAAAAGCTAAATCTAAAGAGCCCATGTACCAGCATGTCCTCACGGTGTTCAAATCTCCAGTTTGGCAATGTGGGTTGATGGAATATGCTTTTCTTTTCACGGGAGCACATGTTGGCTCTGTCAGGCTTAGCTCACTGTTTGTGTATCTGTGCTTTGTGTCACCTCAGAGAGGTTTAAGATTGCATTGCTTGATTTGCTTTGCAAATCCTCCAGGGGACCAACAAAGAATCTGAGATGGGGAAACAAAGAAAGAGGACAATCACTCAAGGTTTTCCTACGACTTGAATGAATGAATGTGTGTGTGTGTGTGTATATATATATATATATATAATCTTTATTACACACACCATTTTTAGACTCAAACCTGCATAATACGGCTGCAAACAGAAACTTTTAATGCTTCCTGGCATTCATTTTTATTGACGGCGAATCAAACTCAAAGGCCCACTTACCCCCTCTGCTGGTGATAAACTGGTAGTACAGTTGGTGTTGATACTTTGACTGATCCTTTAAACTTCATAAAATATCAGCTGCTGCAAAACGAGAATCACTAAACAGAATAAAACACATAAATGCATAGACAAGATCAACATCATGTTAAATAAATAAAAAAAAAGAATTTTTTTTGGTATTTGCGATAAAATGTTAAGTCTTTAAAAATGTTCAATATAACAGTTTTGAACGTTACATTTCAGCAGTATGAATATGTGAAGCAGGAACCGGAGTTAAAGCTTCCTGATCCAGTATCTGCAGGCCCTGGGGGGGAGGGTTCTGAAAGATCAACTGGACTCACACTCAGCAATGCTTGTGTTTCACTGTGGGTGAGTGTGTGTGGGTATGCGTGTGTGTGTGCGTGCTAGACTATTAGATTCCATCAATGAAACCATGGTAATTCACCCTGAAGCTGCCTCCAGCCCTTTTCGCCTGCTGTCAGTGTGATTTTTCATTCCTTCTAAGAGCCAGAGTTTTCATGCAGCACAGACCTTGCAACAGGTGTTGCTGAGACGGCAGCGTTGTAGTGTTTCAGTGAATTATGGAAATTCAGAGGTAAACAAACATGCAACACAAGTATGTTGTGTAGGTTTAAACCAAAAAAGATGAATAAATGTTCATAGTTCTAAAGTTTCACTGACTTGACTCTGATTTTTCATTAATTTTGTTGTGACTTAAAAAAATTAAAGCTTGAATATGCATTGGCCAGTGTGAACAGCAAAAGAAAGGAAAGAAAGAAAAAGAAACATTGTTTCAGTGTATTAAGTTGTAAATTGAAAGGTATGAAATTATCTGCGTCCATCATTCTTGGAAAACAATGGCATCAGACTTCTTTAACATTTTAAAACTCTGATGTACTTTAATTTAAATTAGTGCCGTATCTCATGTGTTAAGAGCTCTGAACTTAAATTCAAGAACAATGGTGTTACAATAATTAGGATAGTCTCTGTTCACTAAGTAAACCATTACCCTAACAGGAAGAAAGAGGAAAAAAATGAAAGTTAAAAAGTATAATCTAAGTATAGAACAAGTTTGATTTTATTTTTTTTAGTTATCATTCCTGAAATAACAAAGGATAAAAAAAAGATATTTGACATATTTTTCAGAATATTAGATTAATTAAAATGTCTTATAATTCCTAAATATCATCGACATCTTCCCCTCCCCATTTAAATAATGAACCGCAAAGTTGCATTTCCTATTATATGTCCGTCTAAATCCACTGATAGAAACGTGTGGCAGGCCAATGACGTAAAGTCTTCGTTGACGGAAATATTGAAATTGAATATTTATCCTACACATTTTTATAGCACCGGAAAACAGTAGGAATGACTGTGCCATGTTTGTCCTCCTACAGAAACCATATTAAAACAGAAAATAATTCCCGGCTTTTTCCATTTTCAAACCTTTCTGGAAAAGCTCCCGGGAGCCACGAGGGCATTTTGGACCTGCACCCAAGTTGAGACTATGCGTAAGTAAAGGCAAATCATACAGGGTAAACGTAAGTACGTTTTTCTTCTTGTTAGTGTCAAGTTGAGGAAATACAGAGAAACACTTCCGGTTTTGATACCAAAATACTTGTAATATTTGAACCTGCATATAATACAATCCACAATATCTCTTTTTGAGACAATTCAGATGAATAAAATAGTATATTTGAGTGACAAGAGTCTGATTAGTAAAGAGATATCATTCTCGGGAGAGCGTCGAATGAGTCGGTTCTTTTATGTTGACAGTCAACTACCGGACTTCCGGTCTTCTCTGCCCTTAGCTGTTTCAATGGACGTATTTCCATGGCAACCACTGTAGCTACATGGTCCTCTCACATCCTGTTACTTTCCTTGAAAGCTAGCAGAGGAGAGTAACCCAGCAGCAACTCGTGATTATACTGCCACAAAGTAAAATTAATCACGTTACTTTTTTTCACTGTTACTTTATGTAAATGACGTCGGTATGAAGGCCAGGAATGGAGGTGAAGTGGCAAGAAACACTAAATGGGGAGTGGCAGGTGAGTTTTTTTTTTTTTTTTTTGGAAGGATATAACGATTTTTGCTCAAAATAGAAATGCATAAAACTTTGGAGTATCATAATAGCAACTGACGAAATTGATTCTTGAAATTTATTGCAGAAAGTTTTTTTCCCCCTCAAATTCTTTTGTGTCTTTTATGGAGCCCATCTGGTGACATGAGGTAATAATAATAATAAAAGACGACACAAAGTGGCCAAATCGTGGCACGACTTAATAATAACAACAGTAGTTATTATCATTTATTATGATAACAATGGACTAATCCGACCTCTTTTAGTTTTAATTCAATCTGGAAATTATATCTATATTCTGACACTTGATGTTAAGCATGGAGTAATTTTTTGTAAGAGACACTTAATTCAGCTGCTTAAAAAGTAGGTGCTTCAAAGCAAACAATACACCTACTTCGGGGAAGATTTTATTTTCTCCCATGTCACCCATGCTTGTCTGTTCTGAGAAATCTTTCTTTTGCAAATGTGTATAAAACGATTATATAAAAACTGTATTGTTACATCTTACTCTTGAGTATCTGCCTGTCTGGACAGATAGTATCTATCCATCAATGCCAGAAGAGAAAATATAAAAGATGCTGGGAGTCTATAATGCTCTACTAATCATGCAGACGTAGCAGAGCCCTAACCAGGTCAAGCAAGCTTTTGTTCGTAGGTGTATGTGTATGTACTGAGTGTGTGTGCGCATGTGTGTGTGTAGGGTTTTATTGACTTAAGGAAGCCTGAATAATTCAACCAGTGCAGCATGCTGATTGAAGAATCTCAAATGGCCCCTGCACTCCATGTGATGGAAAACGCTCAAATCTGATCAGTCGGGTTTGCTTTCACACACAGTCGCACAGGATAAGGAGCCGGTGTCGTGTTACTTATGAGTTTGTCTATGTTTACAAGTGTCGGAAGCCCCCCCCCCCAAAAAAAACACAACACACACTCAGTAAACTTTCACTAGCCTAAAATGAGTTTTCTTTTTATCGTTTGTTTAGGGCCCCCTGTCCCCTTATTGAAGCGTGCTGGTTGGGCACCTCAGCCTTGGCCCCTACGCCCACACCAAGTGGAGCGGGTATACAGGCCCCACGTCCCTCCTCCTCACCCACCGCTCTTCCACACAAGGCATGCGGAGGAAAGCGCTGAGCGGCCTCATCTGGTCACTATTGTCCGCCCATGTAGTCAAAATGGACTGCGGAAGGTAAAAATGATATTTAATATTTTTAAAGAAGGCATATATATCCTGAAGGGCTCAGAAGATTTTAATCGGTGACTTTTACTCATATTTCAATTGACTGTAGAGGTTATTTTGTGTCCACAAAATATTTAGTTGATATAATAAATTCAGGAAATTAATAAGCATATTCTCTCCTCAGCACATTTCAAATAGTTGATTTGATGATTAAATCAAAAGTCAAACAAATAAAGAATGTGTATTACTGAAGATGACAACAAAATTAAATATTAAATAAAGTCTGTGTCTAATGCTTAAGGCAGAAGACCTAAGACTGTACTTGGTGTTGTGCATTAAGATATTCAAATAAGCTTGGTGGGATTTTGTCAATGTTATTTTTCTTGTCTTGGAAATCTTGTAAATGGAAATGTTTTAAATATCTATAAGACTGCAAGGACATTGTCAGCTCTAAAAAACAATTTTTTATCCACTGGACCACTTTTTTAATTACCTCAAATCTACATGATGGTGAAAAATTTAATCCAGTGTTTTTAAAATAAACACTTAAGAGATCTTGGTTCGAAACTGATTGGGTTTTTGGAATAGCTCATAATTTCAAAATTACCACATGAAATAAAGTGCAAAGCATGATGCTGACACCACCAAGTTTCACTATATCTATGGTGCCGTTTTGGTAATGTTTAGTGTTTTTTCCAAACATCTGTTTTAAAACTTTGATGAGAAATTCGAGTTTGATTCCTTCAGACCAGAAATCTTCAAACAAAATTGTTACTGTACTGTTTATAATTATGTAATAACAATATTCATTATTTAAATGACAAATGTTTAACACCAAATGGCTTACTTAAGGCAGTATAAGAATTTATTGTCCTTGTATTTTTCAGGTCATGTACAAGTGTTTTTAGTTTACAGAGAAAACAATATGATGTTGTTTTTTTCTTGCTGTTTGTAAGGTGACGGTGCTGCTGAACCGCAGGGCTGTGGTGTCGTTTGAGCAGCTGCTCCTGGATCTCTCAGAAGCGTTGGGGTTTCCTCGCTGGCACAGAGGAAGAGTCACTCGTCTGTACACGGCACATGCTCGAGAGGTGAGGCAAACCTGAACTGATTTAACATAAATTGGGAGGATCTGGGAAAAAAATGCAAATAGATCTCTTCATATTCCCTATTCTTCTCATGAGCGCTGGTTAAACTTTAGTGTTTTAAACCAGTCTTGTTTCTCTTTATATATACATATATTTTTTTTTGTGATTTAGATAATCTTTTTTTGAAATAGGAAGTGTTTAAATGCTTCATCTGTCAGAAAACGTTTTCAATTAAATCTAGCTTTTCCAAATTTGCTTAAAAGGAAAACTTTCAGCAGGAATCCGGTTGCAGATTTGCCTCCTAACTCATTATTTCTAGATAACTTGCTTTTCGCTTTTTATTCTAGGTAAAGGGTGTGTGTGATTTCTTCTGTGGTGAAGTGGCCTTCTTGGCTCTCGGAAAGGCCCGCCCCGTCCTGAACAGTGTGCAAGATGCTCTGGAGGAACTTTTTCCAGAGCATTCCCATTACCGCGCCGATGCCCTGCAGGTCTGGGAGAAGAAACTCCGGCCAGCGCCAGATAAAGCTGCTAAAGCTGACAGTGGCTATAGCGAGGAGACGGAAAACACTGGGAAGATGCAAGAGACGCAACGAGACGCACGTACGCATGTCAAGAATCACACCAGAGCTCACACGTCCCAACATGCAGACAAAAGCCAGCAAGGACAGCATATTCCTGACTCCCAGAAGTCAAATAAGAATTCTCTCAAAAAACCTGCTCACCTTCCAAACCACCTCCAGAAGTTGCGTGTTAGGGGAGAAGTCAAAGAGAGACATCCTTCTCCTATTGGTCCGTTCAAGCATAGTGAGTTTCTCAGAGACACAGATATCCCCTCTCCTATTCTGTGTGAAAACTGCTTGGCAACAAGGTCAAGACCTCTGGCTCCAGGACTGATCAGTACTCTGTCAGGAAGGGTCCCACTCCCTCCTGTGTCAAAGAAGCAGAAAGGAAGCCATCACACAGGTCAAGAGGTGAGACAGTCAGATGTTTCTAACAGCCCCTCGTCTCCTCAAGTCAGCGGAGACGAGGCGAAGAGCTCTGCACCATCACGGCTTCTACGTCCAGCTCCACACGTGGCTTCAGCTCACACAGACAGCTGCGTCCTCCCCTCCGAGGGCGCAGACCTTACCCTGGCTGACATCGAGCGCTGCTATGAAATCGGCCGTTTGATCGGCGATGGGAACTTTGCCGTGGTGCGGGAGTGCCGTCGGCGTGACAACGGCCAACCCGTCGCTTTGAAGATCGTGGAGCGCTCCAAGCTGGTCGGTCGAGAGCACATGATGCAGAACGAGCTGAGCCTCCTCGGTAGTCTGAGTCACCCCCGGATCGTGCGGCTGCTGGCCCACCACCACACCCGTACCCACTCCTATCTGGTGATGGAGCTGGTGAGCGGAGGGGATCTGTTCGAGGCCATCAATGACCAGGGGAAGTTTCCAGAGCCTGAGGCAGGACGGATGGTTTCGGATGTGAGCGAAGCGCTGAACTACATCCACTGCAGGAGCATCGTCCACAGAGACCTAAAACCTGAGAATTTACTGGTTAGTATCAGGGCAGATCGAAGTGTTTGAGATTTCAGTGGGATTGTTTGTCTCATAACAAACCCAATGAAGTGCATAATTTTAAAGTCCAAGGAAAATTTAGTTTTTGATCATTATTTTTTTTTACAAATAAAAATCTTAAAGGGGCAGTTTTCTATGTTTTCTGTGTTTCTGTGATGATAATCATATGGCACAACATATGATTGTGCCATTTTATAGCACAATCATATGTTACCTTCAATAATTATGAAAATTATGTATATATCAAATATGACTTAAAGGAAATCTGACTTCGACCTAAAACACTTTAAAATTGGACCTCTGTCTCTTTAAAAACGTTTGCTCTTTCTGAAACTTTCTCTTCAGGAAGTCAGCACAACATTGCTCCCCTCTTAATCCTCTGATGTTTTTTTTTAACCAGAATTTCACTGAGAAGTAGCTCATAATGAGCTCAGCAGATGTGTAACTCCAGCAGGTGTTTGCTAATTGCTGCTGGCTAGTCTGAAGGAGCTGAGTGAGGGAGTCGTGGGGGAGGGCTGCTCTGTAAGTAGGAAGATAGGAAACCTGGAAACTGCAGCTGCTGTTTACTGCAACCATTTAGTAAGAAGCTGAATGGTTGCCACAGGAGAGGAAAAGATTTTCTGTCTTGGTAGATTTGCATCACATGGATGCCTGACTCTGTTTTGAGCTTAAAGGAAAGTGTGGCGCTGTATTGTTCTGTCTTCAGACAGAAAAATTATAATCTTAACTTTCTGTAATTAATCCGAGTCTGGTCTTGCGCTCTATTTCACATTCTCTCCCAGATAGAGAAAGTATCCGCCGGCGTCGGTCGGCTGAAGTTGGGGGACTTCGGCCTGGCTATGGTGGTAACAGAACCGGTTTTCACCATATGTGGCACACCAACGTATGTAGCCCCAGAGATCCTCTGCGAAACAGGTGAGGTACTTTGGAGACGCTTTTGTGATTGAATGCGAGTGCCGATTATTTTAATCTTAGTCTGGTTACTCTGCAGGGTACGGTGTAGCAGTGGATGTTTGGGCTCTAGGGGTGATTCTTTACATCCTGCTGTGTGGCTTCGCCCCGTTCCGCAGCGGGGATCGGGATCAGGAGGAGCTCTTCAAGCTAATAAAACACGCAGAACTTCATTTCCCTTCGCCCTACTGGGACTCCATCTCAGAAGGTAAACCTGACTAAAATATTTTCATGGTAAAAATAAAGTTATCTGCCATTAAATTCTAGAGTTTCATGCTTTTTCTCTGTTTTGGATTTGTTGAATGACATGGTGGAAACTTTGGAGTGTGCTTTTTGCCTTTGAGTCCAGAGCATACCGTTTATATAATACAAGGTGTATTTTCTGTTTACAATAACTATTATCCAGACAGGTTGCAGTATTATAAATAGTGCTGTTGTAAAATCTTTAGTCATGTCTCATTTCTTTATATTTTCCTTATTAATAGAAAACAGTTGTGTGAAACTATATTTCCCACAACTTCTTCTTGCTTTATGAAGATTTTACAGTTTGTTTCTAGACTTCAGCTACTTCTTCAGTCTTGTTCCTATTACATCAGTCTCTCTTCCATTTAAAATATGTACCACAAAAACTGTTTAAGAGAGAGAGATAATCGAATTTTAGCAGAAACAAGACTATCCTCGATTTTATGTTTCCATTGGAGTGATAGAAGCTGTTTACGGCCTTTATCAGTGAACCTGCAAATAAATTTTGGAAATAATGTTTGGTAGTAGTGATGACCTTAGATATTAAAGCCACTACATTTGACGAATATATCTAAGGATTTTGACAATTTGTTTATGTAGGTTTCTCTCTCAGAAGGTCATTGCTAATAAAGTTGCTTTGCTGTTTTTGTTTCTAATATTTGACAATAATGTAAATTACAATCGCTATGTGCATATTTTTGAACTGGTACTACAAATTACATGAAGCTGCTTTGGGCAGGCAATTTGTATGAAGCAGCTAAAGTCCAAACTCAGAGAGACCATAAGAAAGAGTGATACACTATTGATCTAGACCACTTTAAGAGATCACAAGACCGTATGAGTGGAAATAAAGGGTAACAAATTTAAAATAGCTTTTGCAGTTTTCAGAATCTGACTCTTTCTTTTCTTTGTGGACAAACAGAAGCTAAAGGTCTTGTCAGATCTCTGCTTAACCCAGACCCCACAGTGAGGCTGACAGCAGAGCAGATCCTCCAGCACCATTGGGTGAAGGCTATGGCTGCAGCCTGCAGCCAGAGGGCGCTCTCTGACAAAGCTAAGGGGCTCTCAGCAGATAAAACAGAGCTGCGCAGAGCAGCTCCAACAAAAGAATCACTGGAGAATCACATAGCAGGAGACTCTGGCACCAAGAAGGAAATGTCTCCCAGGAGACATGATGAATTCACAACAAGAGGACAAGACCAGAACAAAACTCCACTGGTCCAATCAGAAGATATGAGCACTATCGACACTTTGGCTTCCCAGAAGAAGAAGCAAACACCTCTATATGAAACAGCTTGTCAAAAAAATCCAGAAACTATCTCTGCAGAGCTGCACAGCAGGGAAAGCATTCAGGATTCAGGTCAAAATCTCTCAAATGTGGACCTTTTTAATCAAAGTGACTCCTCCATAACTCAAACTGAGCCTTCATCCCAGAATAAACTGCAGTCCAAGCAGAAAGGGGAACAACAGTGACCAGTGGATCCGACAGCTCCAACCAAACACCAACAATAGCAAATTGCTGAGAACAGCATAATTCATCCCAGACCAGCAGCTGATTCTTCAGCTCTGTCCTTCGGCACTAAAGCTCTACCCTGCAGCCGCTGTCCGCAAATAGACTGAAAACCATACCAAGGCAAATGGTCACCACACATTCAAGCCCCAAAGTGTCTGGGATTTTTCTCTGTTTGATTGTGTAATTAGATCAGGGTCATCATTTTCCTTGTTGCAAACAATAGCCCTGATTTTTTTTTTTTTTTTTTTTTTTTTTTAGTAATTGAAGCTTTGGGTGACAGGCAGATGATGGGTTTTTACTTTCGTAGAATGAATAGTCTGATTGATGAGACCTGATGCATCTGATATACGTGCATACGCCATTTGTCCTGCATTTTGGAACTAATCATGAGATTTTGTGTGATGACTGAGCCTCTGCCCAAACCCTGTGAATGAAGCTTGTAAACAGGAAGTGTTTTATAAGTTGTTTGATTACATTTTAGGTAAATTTCTTACGTATTTTTGTTTATGTTTCTCCGCAAATCATTTTTATCTTTTGTAGATGCGATCTCTACGGCTGATAGCTATTTTTAATTACGTAAAAATATGAGTCTGTACATATATAGTTGGATAATTTGTCTGTTTACGATTTTATGAATTCCCGATCTAAAATGACTAAATTTCACTTTATCATCCTTTATATTTTTTTATCGTAAACTACCCCTTGTATGACTTTAGCGTGATGACATTCATAATGTCTAAATGAATTGTGCAGTAAAGGGTTGTAAACAATGTGGAGGGTTGGAACACACTGAGGACAGTGTGTGACCACATTCAGCTACTGGATAAACTTTCTGTGCATACCTATGGGGGGTACTGGTCCCCTGCCATTCCACACACACCAAATAAGGCCTATCTCTGTCCAATGAGGGCTGGTTAATCCTGTCCCTCCCGATTGCAGACAGCTGACACTCAGACATCCTGCCCCACCCAACCCAAAGGACGTCCACAATCCTGCAACCCCCTTACCCAGGCCAGTCCACATCCGCAACCTTTGTGGCTTCTAAGCTGTATATCTGGGGGCACTGATGGAATGATAGCGCTTATAAATGCCTATGGTCAAGTGTCAGTGCTGTGGGCCATGGGTAATTAAAGCCTCTCTCAAAGATCCTGCTGCTCTGGCTAAATTAGTCAAGCTTACTCAAAAAACACACATTCACAGAATTCATTCAAATCAGCTGAATTTCATAGACTGCAGCAAAAGACCTTTAATGGTGCGAGTCCAGACACCAGAACATAAATGGTGTGATTTGGTTGTCACATGTTTGTAGCTTATTGTTTAAAGTAACAATCCTTCACTAACATTATAAGCAAAATAATAGAATTAGGAGAAATGCTTTCAACTTTTTCACAATGTGCTCATTGGAAAAAAGGTTCTGCTTGTGACTAAACTGTTTTTCCCATCGAATGAGAAATATAATAAGATAATTTTTTGCTTTCTGAAAACAATATTTTGTTGAAATAATTGAGCATATTAGGGATTAGTCTGCTGAAAATTGTTTTATTAATTGTTTTACTTATATATGTGAGATGTAGCCCAGAATGCATATAAACAATAACTAACTTTGAAGCAAAATAATACCGATTTTAAATTGAATGTGTTGAAATGAATGGCTGTTGTGTATTTTATTTTTTCTTGCAAGCTAAGTATTTTTATGAGGTGTTTAATAGCATAAATAAGTCCAAGACATGTTGTTTTAAAATCCTTATTTGTTTGAAGCAAACGACATATTACAGAAACTTCACTGCATGACATGATAGAGTAGCAATGACATCAAAGTTTGACCAGCGCTTCAGAGGAAGAGTGAAATGTCAAATTCCATCACTGAGAGGTATTTTATCCACTTGGGGACAATCCGAGTTTTGTGGCATATCAGGTTTTGATCACCTTTTGACTGCATACCAGATGATGCTCAATGCCCCAAGTCATCTAGCACAACCAAACAGCCCTCTGTCAGCCAATTCACAGCTGTAAGTAAAATACTTTTTCTTTTAAATCCCAAAATAATTTAAAAACCAACAGAACTGCCTTGAAAATGTTATGTCAGAATGTGAATGTTTGACCACTTGATTTGTACTTAAAGAAATATAGTTATAGCATTATTCATTTTATGTAAAAGCAGTATTTTTCGGGCAACCAATAGCTACTTTTATTGTAAAATACCGTTGCAAAGCTAATTGCACAAACTTCCAACCCTTGACTTGTAGTCGCTAGTAAATGTATATTCAAATTGTTCTTGTGTTTGTTTTACAAGAAAGCAGTAGTAACTTACAGACTTGTCAAGAACTGCAATAAATGACCATTGCTTTTGCTCTGCGTGCATTAAATTTATTTTTTGGAACAGCATTTTACTGTTAGCATCAGTTACATTGTTGTTGTTAAGGTTGTTATTAAATAAGAACAAGATATCATTTGTGCTAAATGCATAATATAGTTTTTTGCTTAATGTAAAAGTTGTATTTCCCTGTAGTCAAAGCAAAGGAGGCGTTAAAAACAAAAGAAGAAAAAAAAACCATAGGAGTTTGCACAAGAGTAAAACTAACCAGACAAATTGGATTTACTGTGAAATACTTCATCCTCTGGTGGACAAATCTAAGTGTGCTACTTATCTGGTTTTTGGTGAACTTTTAACTGCTCACCTAATAACCCAAGTCATCTGCCACGACAAAGCCGTCGTGGCAGGCGTTTCAGCAGTTGCACCCAAACTTAGTGTGTATCTATCAAAAATATGAGAATATTATTTGCTTTACTTAAAAACATGATTTTAGGCTGTGTTTGTAAAGGACTGCTACTTTTCATTAGTAGCCCATCTTCTGACAAATTTCACCACAAAATCTTAGCCTAAGCTCTGTGCATTTGTATAAGAGTAGAGATTTTAAACTTAGTTTGTTGAGATTAGGGTTTATGATTGAAAAATTTATTGATTATTTAAATAAACCAGGTAGTGTGATTTGAGATTTTCACAAAAAAAAAACTTAATGAAATTTTTATTAATACAGTTTTGAGACAAGGTAAGTGAGAAAACATTATTGTGTTCTAAGACAGTCAAAATATCCAAAAAAATAACCATGAAGTATTTCACCACAACCTGAAATGCGACAAAGTTCGCATTGTCGCATTTCACGTTTCGGTTACCTTCTCAGCTCAGGCAAAAGATGCTCAGTGCGCATGCGTGTCTCAAGCTCTTTAAATACCCCAAGTCATCTGCCACAACAAAACATTCCTCTGTCAGCCAATTTACGACTGTAGCGTAGAGGCCCCTGCATATGCAGGCGCTGTACATTTACTTTTAAATTTTTCGGCATGGAGCCCAGTGTTACAATTTAGAACCTTCCCGAAAATAGAAAAAAGTAGAACACGGTCAAGTCAGGGAACGGACAGGAGGGGGAAAAACACAAAAACAAAACAAAACAAAGATGGCTGTGTAGCCAGAGAGACAAGTCCCAACAGAACTCTCTCTCCAGCTGTAGTCTCCGACAGGTTCTGTGCGTGGTCGTGGTCCAGTGGACAGACAGACAAGTCGAGAGCCAGCCGGTACCGGAGCAGCAGGCAGGGACGCGGGGGAGAGCAGCCGAACAGGGCCGCTGGCAGGGCACGTCGTTACCTGCTGTCGTTGCGAGTAACGGACAGCTGAGTGAGGCCGAGTTGTTTTTGTTCTGCCTGGGCTCAGGAAAAAGGACTGCTAGCCTCGCTGTAAGTCATCTAAACTAGTCAAAATTTGATTTCCTTAGTAGCTACTATAAAATTTGGCTCATGTTCGCTTTCTTTCTTAAGAATTGGCTTGTTAAAATCAACCTTCCTGTGTGCAGGGCTGTGTTCACAGTGAGCTCGCTTCTGACGCGTTAGCCTAGCTCACGTTAGCTCGACAGGTTGTTAGCTAACCCCGAGCTAACGTCCTAATATTTCTTTCGGCTCAGCCTGGTTCGGGCAGGTACATAACAGGCATTTTTCCAGACAGCCATCGCCAATGTCTTCGCTGGAAGAAAGAGACGTGGGCGTTGCGGTCGCTCCTAGCTCCTCCTCGGCCGGCCTGGGGGTCGGGGCCGTGGGGGCAGCGGTGGAGGCTGTCGCCGCGGTGGTGGCCATGCAGGAGGATGTCGGTATACGGCGAGAGGGGCCCGAGTCTGACCCGGACGAGCCACCCAAAAAGAGGTTGAAAATACCCGAAGGAGAGTCAGGGAAGCTGGAGGAGAGACTGTACTCAGTGCTGTGCTGCACCGTGTGCCTAGACTTGCCCAAGGCGTCTGTGTATCAGGTAAAGGTGGTGCCAATCACAACCAAAGCCCTAATACTTCTTAATTGACTCGCTGTCAAGCATAAAAATAGATTTGCTGGAAAACCCACAATAGAAACTCCCCTCTGTGTCCCAAACCCAACAGTCAACCTGTTGAATGTGTGGGCTTATTTCTGTTATTTTTACCGATACCTGATCTAACAACAGTCTGAAAAAGTGTCCAGGCAGCACATTTCAGCCATGTGGAGGACAGACACACCAGTGGTCAACTCCAGTTTATAATCTAGGATGAATTTTTCTCTGTTCATCCTCAGGAAGTACAACAACCCCATCCTACTTATTACATCTTGGCCTTATTAACTTTCTATATCCCTTCTAGCCCATTAATAACCTCCAACCTTTGTTGAGACCAAATTTCAGACACTCCTGATTTTAGTCAACCTTACAACCGCAAAATCACAGCGTAGAACAGCCATCCTTGTGTTTAATTTGCACACGAGTCATTAACACTGCAAAACATCCACATTTTATATTAAATACATGATTTCTTATTTTTTTGTTAAATCATCCCACAAAAATGTCCATCTTACCTTATCTTCCCCTTTGTTTTATGTCTTTTAAATTGTAGTCTTAAACTGCAACTTTCTAAAAGTATGCATTGTCATTAGTGCAGATTCCAATAAAGTTTTAAATACCCCAAAATAACCTGGATTAAGATGTGTTTTTATCCTTGTATCTAGTAGGGTTTCTTATGGGCAGTAATGATTCTTGCGCTCTCTTTATTAGCAATTTTAAAACGTTTCTGCACTTTTTCTTGATAAAAATTATACACAAGTAGTTGTAGTTGTTGCTTATTGTTTTAAACTAGCATACAATCAAAATATAAATGCTTATAGCTTTTGATCTGAGAGTTTTTGAAAAGATAGTCCAGCAAAATGTTGAAAGATCCAAAATAATAGCCTGTATAAAATAGGTTTGTGTCCTCTTACCCAAACATGAAATGTAATTTCATATCTAAATATGTGTTGTTTATTTACAAAGATCATACTTCTATAATTATAATTTTTTTTCTAATGTACATTTTAAAAACTCAAAGTGCCAAAAAATGGGAACAACAAAAACCTAATAATTTATATACATTTCTGTTTCCTCATTTCTTAAATATCTAAACATAGTATAAATATAATAAAAAATAGATCATTTAAAATTAAACCAGACCATAACAAACTACTTTAACTATTGCAAAAAATGTCCCGCCTGAGTTTTAGATGTTTATTTTTTACTTTTTGGCATCCACTCTGTGTACCATGCAGTGTCTTTTAATCTTTATTAACCCGTCCTGTCTTTTTGTCAGTGTACCAATGGACACCTGATGTGTGCTGGCTGTTTCATTCACCTCTTGGCCGATTCTCGTCTCAAGGAGGAACAGGCCACGTGTCCCAACTGCAGGTAAACCCGCTTCACTGTGGACACACCAGGTTTCACAAAAATACCAGGAGAAAAAACATCAACGCTTCAAAGTCCGTAGATTTTCATTTGATTCTAGTCATAAAACAATCAGGCCAATCTAACTAAAATACCAGCTGACTCTTTCTTGGGGTACTTTTTACTAAACGAGTACTTTTAGTAGAAAGCTCACATAAATAAACATGTGCAGGAAACGTAGTGATCTGTTCATACAGCATGTATAGATCTGCTTTATGTTGCCACATAGTTTTCACATCTTACTGAAAAGCCCCTCCTTGCATTTTGTTTTTCTGTGACTGATTTAGTTTGTCATCTGACCTTTTTGCCATTTTCAGCCTTCAGAGGTTTTGTTGTTTTTGTTGTACCTGATGTTTTCGAGTCCAAGAAGAAGCAGGAAATTTTATCCTGATATCATCGCATACCTTTTCTTTGGATGTTGTGTACCTGCTTTAACAGCCAACGATTTTAACAGATATTTTCTTAATTAGCCCATCATCTGCTGTAAAAGGAAAAAGTAGTTATACGATTCTTTCATATGATTCTTTCACATGATATCTACCAGCAGGTGTTCGTTATTGGGGATTTGTAGTTTAATCCTGTTTATAATTTTATGAGTCAGCTGCCCCACATTAGGATTGGAGCCATATTTAGTAATGCATGGTTTTCAGAAGATGACATGCGATTAAAAATGATAACATTTGTGCATTTTTAAGATTATTTTTCTCCTTAATGCGCCAAAACACTTCAGTACCAAGAGGAAGCAGTAATAAGCAACAGTTGATTACGTGGCTTTTAGGTTGGGACAAGGTTGTAAGAATTGGTATAAATTGAAAGTGTGAATTAACTCAGAGCCTCTGCGCTCCAGTGTTTAAAAAAAAAAAAAAAAAAAGACAGAAATTTGACAAACTTTATTAAATTGCATATGCAGCTTTAAGATCCAGTTTATATGCAAGTGTTAATAAACATCTGGATCATTTTGCCAAACTTACTAAAGACAAAAATATTTTATTTTTGGGGAAAATTTGAGGAAAAAGATCTGAAGCTTATCAATAGCCAAGAAACCATTTTCTTGATCATCACCAGCATATTTTCCGTAGACATTTCTGACTTACCGTGTGCACAGAAGTGAAGATAACTTTACTGTATTCTGTGCTCTACGTCTCGAAGTAAGAATCTGCCTTAGCAGATCTTTTCCGATCCCCAGTGAGCTACCGCCTCTGCAGTGTCCACAAACTTGTATTACCATATTGCCGATTCCACAAATATTATTTATGCCTCTGCGCTGACGTATGAATCATTGTTTTTCTGTGTCCATGTAGGTGTGAGATAAGCAAGAACCTGTGCTGTAGGAACCTCGCAGTGGAGAAGGCTGTCAGCGAGCTGCCGACAGAATGTACCTTTTGCCTAAAGCAGTTCCCCCGCTCCAGCCTGGAGAGACACCAGAAGGAGGAGTGCCAAGACAGGTTCACAGCTTCGTTCAATTCGTCATTAAAAATAACACATGGGAAAAATTAATAACTTTTGCCACAATTAGTTTTCTCTACAAATTATTCTAATTTATGAGCAGCCAGAAACGTTAAATGCCCTGAATCTTCCAGAGGATAATAGGACTGCCAGTATTAATGTGCTGAATAACAGGATGTTGAGAAATATTAACAGTTTCACTTTATTAATATGGTCATTAACGCTTTGTTTTAACTTTTATTTGCTCAAGAGAAGTTGAGGCTGTGTCGTTATCTTTCATGATAAATATGTCTGCTGTCAAGTGGAAGTTTGATAAGTAGATTTTTTTCCGGCTGATAACAAAATGAAAAAAAGAAGCAGAGCTGGGTTTTTCTTATTCTGTGAGAGAGCCTGTGAAACTCTCTCACAGGCTCATTTTTCCCCAGTTTGTTTCTTACATTGAGTCACGAGTCTCGGCTGAGTGCCTTAGTTCAGTTTTTGGTCCAACGTAAACCGTTTTGTCGTGCATATGCAAAAGCTCATTGGAACTCTGTTGTGGTCCAAAGATACAAACTCTTATCGAACCTGTAAACATGGGCACAAGCAAATCAAACAGAGGAAGTGATTCATCTTCTGCATGTGATTTATGGGCTTTTATGGGATCTAAAAATGTCTCATTTGGTGTCTCTGGAACCACAGCAGCACCTCTTGGTCTCTCCCCCTTCATTGCCCAATTATTCTGGTGTGAAAACACCTCTAGCTGATTTTCTTGGGATAGTTTTTTATTCTCTGCATTTGTGCTTTCGTGGTTTGCAGGAATTCTTAAGCTTTAAAACTAACTTTTAACATTTTTTATACCAGGAGGTGAATAACTTAATGTCTTTAAGATCTTGTTCTGCAGTTTCTTTAGATAAGAGTCTGATATGTTGCTTTTCTCTGTTACTTTGGCCTACTTCATACTGTCAGACAGGTTCTATTTAAGAGATTGCTTCATTCTTATAATCAAGTCTGGACTTGGTTTGCAAATTTTTACCATTTCATTTATGATTTAGCAACATGGACAATAAAGTTTTGGACAGGGTTAGGTTGGTTTTCTCCCCCAATACAAGACATTTTTAAATGAAAAATTTTGGTGATTTTATTGCAATTTCAAGTTTATTTGTGTAGCACATTTCAGCAGCAAACAATTTGCATCATAAAAAAAATTCAGTAATTAATTATGAAACAAGCAACAAAAGCAGCATTTTATCAAAATCTTCAAATATTTTCATCAATATCCAGCTATTGTGAATCAAATGCAACTCTAAACATGTGGAGGTTTAGCTTTGATTTAAAGAAACTCAGTGTTTCGGCTGTTTTGCTGTTTTCTGGAAGTTTGTTCCAGATTAGTGGAGTATAGAAACTGAATGCTGCTTGTCTGATGTGAACATTAATTACAAAAAAAGGAACATGGAAGTAAATTGTAAGGAGACAAATTGTGTTTCATGGCATCCAATGCTGACTGTCTGTTTCCCTCAAAAATTCCTTTTGGCCTGTTATATAATTCACTTTTTTATAATGAGTCAATATTCATTTCTCTTACTGTTAAATCACTGTTCTCTGCGATAAAAGTGGCAATAAAAATGTCTGAATTTGTGCTGCAACTTTGTAAAAATGAAGTTCTTATTGTTCGCTGCATTATATGTGATAATAAGACAACACACATAACCAGTTTAGACAGACTCATACAAAGAAAAAGTCAGTTCTTTCAAAGATACAAAAGCATAAGTGACCATTTCTCACTGCAAAGGACGATTGTGTATTTGTGCTGACAGCCAGCGAATCGCAGCCTCCCTGAGTTAAGATGGAAAGAGATGGCGGAGACTCCAAGGAGATGAACCGCTGAAGTGATTACAGAGCACGCATTAGTCACAGGTGATTCTCAGGCTCGCCTGAAATCCTGCGAGGTTGTTTCCATGGCGAAAGATGACCCTGCCGTGACGAGCTGCTGCGTCTGTGGGCATCGTTATGACAGCAGCCGCGGCAGACTCCAGGTGGTTTTCAGTCGGGTCAGACAGAAAATGTGGCTAGCCTCCTGCCAGAACGCAGCGTTCAGGATGTTATTGTCAGAAATACGGCCGTCAGGTTTTTTTTTTTGGACCCTCGGCTCCATATTTAAGTTGCTGTAATTATAACCACAGATTGCACATATTTTTCTCCTGGCTCCGGTTGGATTGTGTAAGACAAAAGTTTTCCGTGAAAGCCAAGAATTATACAATGGTAACTTAAATTAGCTCTGCCTCACTGCCGAGACTAAGTAGTACCTTTCAAATGATTAATACCTCGTTTTAGCTTTAGAGGGGAACAGGTATTTATTAAGATTCACCTTTTATCCATGGCGTAATTGATATGAATCTCTGGGTTTTTCCCTCGGAGGTTGTGCTCTTATCCCAGCACTGCATTCATTTGTTGCAGTTCACTTCCTGGGTTAATTAGTACCTTTCGTACCATTAACTTCCAGTCAGTGCAAGCGACCCATAGTCGTCACACAGCCAACGATCTAATTTAGATGAAGCAGCATCTGCGTTTTGTTTGTATTTTTTATTTTCCTACATTATCTGCTTCTGCATGTCATGTTTCCAGGGTGACGCAGTGCAAGTACAAGAGAATCGGTTGCCCCTGGCAAGGCCCGTTTCACGAGCTGCCGGCGCACGAGAGCGAGTGCTCTCACCCAACCAAGACTGGCACAGAGTTGATGGGAATACTGGGGGAGATGGACCAGAACCACCGCAGAGACATGCAGCTGTACAACAGCATCTTCAGCCTGCTGTGCTACGAGAAGATCGGCTTCACAGGTACAGAATGCCGGTCACGACTTTGGAACTGGTCGCTTCACGCCTTCCAGTACCTTCGCCTCGTTCTGATTCGTCCTCGTCGTTGCAGAGGTGCAGTTCAGACCGTATCGCACAGACGACTTCATCACTCGCCTGTACTACGAAACGCCACGTTTCACTGTTCTCAACCAGACGTGGGTGCTGAAGGCCCGAGTCAACGACTCGGAGCGTAATCCCAATCTGTCCTGCAAGCGGACGCTCTCCTTCCAGCTCATCCTCAAGAGCAAGGTACGGCCTCTTCTCTTCATGTCTGCTTTCACCTTCTACATGACTTCACTGCAGAGGTTTGAGAGATCATCTCAATTAGTCAAATTATTTTACCCTGACAGAAACATACTCCTCTATGAGTGCTCTGGTCAATGATGGAAATCTGCTGCAGAAATCTTGAGTTTTTCTCTCAATAAATGCTTCGAGACGGAAAACCTCTGTCAATGCATTTTCTGCGATGCATTGGTAAAAAGAAATCAGATAAAGGTTAAAGAGCAAATGCTTTGACGTATAAATCTTTGAGTTTCTGTCAGATTGAAACCTGTTGCCCTCTGCGAACTACAGTCCTTAAAATGATATTGGAGATCAACCGAAGTGGGAATAAGCAGCCAGTAAACAACTCTAGCAATTTGCTTGGGCTTCAAACTTTACTCAAATCCACGTTTCTGCAGTCTGGAAAAGTCTAGAGTTTGATTTCGGTATTTTCCAGGCCTGCATAAGTATTTGAAGAAGTCTGAAAGTTGTTTATCTTCCCATTGTGTCCAGCTCACTGTCCAAATCACCAGATGAAAAATAGCCATTCTGACACAGTTACAGAAATATTAATCCATATGCATTGTCATAAATTAAATTTCATAGTTTCAATTCCTCTCTTCCCCTCCTTATTTTAATCCAAAGGCAAAGTAGTGAAAGCTTTGCAAACTTTAGTGTGGAGGAGATGTACAATATGTATCAATATGTGCAATATCCAGTTCTGTAAGATTGATTGGACGCAACATGTGAGCTGTTTATATTTTACGTGCCATGAATTCAGACTCTGCACACCAGTGATGCATTTGGCCATTTGTGTGGACGCTCCCTGCTCTCCATGCTCACGCTGTTTAGAGATTTCAGCGCCGAGTTGCATGAAGAGCAGTGAGCACAATGATGAGAAGTTGAAATCAACATCTGGTGAACTGCAACAGCTGTGCTCCAAAGTTCATCAATTATGTTGCCTTTGTTTTCCTGATCATGCCCTGTAGGAAAAACCTAATTTTAACGTTCTATAACCAAAGTTTATTCATTTATTTGCTTGTTAAATTAATTTCACTCTGGGATGAATGAAGTATTTTAGTAGTGTGATGGACCGTTGTTTAATGCATTGTAATAGTTGGTAGCCAGTTTTACACAAGCTGGAATGTGAACTTCATGCTTTTAGAAAAAAAAAAAAACAAGAGCGGGAAAATGCTGAAAAACAGAAACAAACTTGGAGGAGGTGAGTCAGTTTATTCATCTAATTTAAGAAGCGGAGGAATCTCCCCGGAGATCGCGTTCACTTGTTTCACACTCCCTGCCGTGTCGGCCACCCGAGACCTGGAGACGAGTGCCGGCTCGCTGCCTCTTCCGGCAGGGAACCACGGAGCGATTCATTCTCAGAGCTGCCTAATGTGGGTGTGTCCCCACAGCCGCCTTTCTCCTTCATTAGACACACAAGGCACTGAGAAATGGCCTCAGCTTCTCCACGAGCCTTGAAATGGCTCCACTCCTGAGGGAGGAAATAATAACCACGCTTCCCGAGAGAGAGCAACGCTTCATGGTTTGGTGTTCAAAGAAAAAAAGTTCAAAAAGTTAAGACTCATTGATGGTTTTCAGAATTACCCCTGGCTTTCTGAGGAAATCTGCTCTTTAGATCAAGTGTTGCGTTATTTTCCCCATATTCCATATTTGAAACTTGGATTTCACCAGAAAGCCTCATGACAGCAGCATGTGGCTCCTTAATTAAGCTGGACATCCCCAGATTAAGCAGCTGACCTAACCCACAGATATTAGCTAAATGAGATTAGCAGCAATAAACAATGCAGCTCATCGGTTCAGATGCCAGCCTCAGATTTCAGTTTGCTCATGTTAACAAAGCACCTCAGAATAAGTTTTATACTTAAATTCATTTGCTAATTAGTAAGCAGATAATTGTGCAACATATGGTCATGAAATTAGTCAATTTCTAATGTTTATAAGGCTTTAGAGTCTTAACTTTGTGTCTTTAAAATGTCTGAGGTGGCAGAAATACACGCCAAGAAAAATAGGATGAAGAGGATTTGATGGATGGATGGATGGATGGATGGATGGATGGATGGATGGATGGATGGATGGATGGATGGATGGATGGATGGATGGATGGATGGATGGATGGATGGATGGATGGATGGATGGATGGATGGATGGATAGATAGATAGATAGATAGATAGATAGATAGATAGATAGATAGATAGATAGATAGATAGATAGATAGATAGATAGATAGATAGATAGATAGATAGATAGATAGATAGATAGATAGATAGATAGATAGATAGATAGATAGATAGATAGATAGATAGATAGATAGATAGATAGATAGATAGATAGATAGATAGATAGATAGATAGATAGATAGATAGATAGATAGATAGATAGATAGATAGATATGTAACACATCTTCATTTCTAGGAAACACAAATATTATTTACATATTTAACTTGAACAACTCCAGTTCAAAAGCAATAAACTAAAACCCAGTCCAATCCACCTCCCTCCAGTCAGGCACCGGTTCCTTGTTGGCGCCGCCATGGCAGTGCGTGACCAGGTGACCTCGACTTCCTTGGCAAGATGGATGAAAACAGCAGCACATTTTTGTCATGTTTTTTGTTTGTTTTTTAAATATGCTGTTTCTAAACAGTTTCTAAATAGAGGTCAGCTGGACTTCAGTCACCCTGGAGTCAAAACCTCGGTGACATTTGGCTGCAATTGAAGCTGCACATAAAGCACAATATCCCTAATTTATTGTTATTGCAAATAGAGCTGTAACGATTAATCAGATTAGTTGCGATTAATCGATTATTAAAATAATGGTCAGCTAATTTAGGAATTAATTAATTGTTAAGAGTTTGTAGACTCAAAAAAGGCCATTTGGTTATTAAAACAGCATATTCAGAGTCACAATTAAGCCAAAACTGTATGAAGAAAAAAATAAAATAATCATTTAAGATAAAAAAAAAAATACCTTTTGTCTGTAAATATGTTTAGCCAAAACCCAAGTAGTGTAGTTTCAGCTCCATCTGGTTCATATTGTCTAAGGGAATGTTATGGTGTTGCATTTTAGGCAATAAAATGTTTACTTTCTTATTTATTTTAAAAAAAAAAGACTCAAGTTATTTGCATATTTTACTGTATTTCCAAGGCTTACGTGGTTAAATAAAATAAAAAACTATAATGTTGGCTTTTATCACAGGGTATTTTATTACTAAAATAATCGGTAGTTTCGGCCCTAATTGCAGTACAACTGAACACAGTAAATCAAAAATATACTTGTAGTGCAGCAACTATGGTATAATTATATAATAACACAACATTCAGATTCTTTAATGCAATTAAAATATTTGCTGATGTTAAAAACAGAAGAAAATATTTCAAGGAGAGCATTTTGATGTCTTGGTCAACGAATTAATGCTATAAACTTTGAATTTCACTGCCAGATTAGCAAATGTAATCAGGTGAAACGTTTCCATCTGCGTGTTTTCCGAATGTTTATATATATAGAGAGAGAGAGAGAAAGAGAGAGCGAGCGACAGCAGCTGTTTCCAAGTTGACTTTCTTGACTCTTGAAGGCATTTGGTTGCCCTGGATTTCATCTCAGGGTGTCAAAGTAAAAGGGGGCCGATTCCAAAATCAAAGTGCTCTTTGCTTTTTGTTGCACGCAGGTGAACTCTGCCCTGGAGTGCTCCTTCCTGCTGCTGAAGGGGCCGTACGACGACGTGCGGATCAAGCCGGTCATCTACCACCACTCCTTCAGCAACGACACCAACGAGACCGAATACGTCCCTCTGCCCATCTCCGACTCGGTGGAGTGCAACAAACTGCTGGCCGCCAAAAACATCAACCTGCGCCTGTTCATCTTCCAAGTCCAAAAATAAAGACCTCTAGAGGAGGAAGGCGAGGAGGGGGAGGAGTGATGGAACGGATGAAGGAGTGCATTGATTGAAGGCCAGCGTCAAAGAGAAGACGTGATAATTAAAGAGAGACGCCACTGAACCATTGATACCTCTTAACACACGCACACACACACACACACGCTAATCACAACACGCATAATAACGCTGTTTTTACACAATAGTGAGCTGGTTTCCTCCAGAAAGCTGTGAGTTGCTGTGAAGACGAGACTGGAGGGATGAAACCTGGGGAATTGGAGGATGGAAGCGGCGGCGGTGGGCGTGTGGTACCTGTGGTACGTGACAGACGATTCGCTTCGGACGCCCGCAGACGAAGGAGCGCGCGTGTGTGTGTGCGCGCCTTGTTGAATGTTTGCGAACAAAAAGAAAAGAAGGAAAAAAAACCAACCAACCAAGATGAAGCGACGATCCACAGCGTGCGTTCGGATGTCTGCTGGCACGTGGACACGACCCAAAGACGGGCGATGATGTGAAAATAGAGTGACTGACTCTGCTCAGCTGTTATTTGGAGGTGTGAATGAGGGTCGAAGGGGGCAGATGTGTGTTTTATCTCCCCGCCTTCCTCTGCACACCAGGTTTTTTATTTTTTATTTTTTCTCCCTTTCAACACCTTCCCTGTCGTTTTGGCATCTGCTAAGCGACTGCAGCGCTGCACCGTCGCCACCCCTTCCTTCCACCCTTCAAGGGGAGAGACGGCAGCGCAGCGTTTTAGTTCCTCCTTATTCCTCCTGCAGTGGTTACACTAACAGCCTCTTCTGTTCTCTTAGCCCTGAATATTTAAGTATCTGTGATTATTATTTTTTTCTTCTTGATTGAATGTTGAGTTTGTGAGTGTGTGTGTGTGTGGGTGTGGGTGTGTGTGGGTGTGGGTGTGTGTGTGGGTGTGTGTGCGTGGGTGTGTGTGTGAATGTGTGCGTGTGTGTCAACAGATCACAGCTGTGACGTTGTGCAGGATGGAACCAGCCAGGCTGGACCACAACCAAAACATTCAGGGGCTTCACTGTGTCACTTGCTTTCTGGTAACTGAACAGGCTGTGTGTTTATATTTATTTCAGCTGTTTTACATGAAGCATTTTACTTTTTTTTTTTTCTTCTTTTTTTTAAAAAAATGCTTTCTTAGCAATTACTTTTTTAAAAGCTGTTTTTGATTTTTGTTTTTAACACCTTTGAGGAAATCAAAGCTAGTTTAATCGCTCCTTGGATAACAAATTTTTATCTAATTATGTTAATCTAGCTTTTTTGTGATTTGTGTTTTTTTTTTTTTTTTTTTGTGTCCTCCTAAATTTAATATGGTTTTTACCACAAAGTAACTGAACCACAGAAGAAGAGTTTGGATGAAGCAGTGCGTATGGGTGCGGTGGGATGGTTCCAGAGGCGTTTGACCTGACTACAGACTCATCTTGATGTTAGACAGACCTGAACGAAGCGAGATGATGTTACTCATGTAGATTCTACTGTAAAAGCAGGCAGATCTCTCTCCTCCCGACCTCTGCTTCCTGTATTTCTGTGTTTTTGATGCTTCGTCTCTATGCCGGTGGACTCACTCATCTCACTTTGGCTGTACATGTGCCTTTTATTAAAGATGATGGAACCTGCACAGCTGTCTCCGCGTGTGTGTGTGTATGTGTGTGTGCGTGCGCGTGTGTGTGTGCGAGCGGCGGCTCGAATGTTGGCCAAAAATAGGCTCAACTCTGACAAACCCACCGGCCTGTATAAATTATGCATTCTGCGCCGCAGTTATGAAATCCTAAATTTAATTTTGAAGGGCTCGTGTGGGTGATGGATATGTTTCATTGGATTTGAAGCGGAGATTATGAATCACGCAGGGAACAAAATGAATTACGCAGCGTTTGAAACAATAGCGCATCAGGATTCGTCGCTCGGTTGACAGAGAGCGCGGGTTTATTGCGGCAGAGCAAAACGAAGCTTGCCTGAAGACTTAAAAGCGACTGTTTTGGCGTAATGACACAGTCCTGCATGTCTGTGAAAGAGCTAATTGGATTTTGGAAGAACTTTGCCGGGTTCTGATCAGCTCGGGTGGATGTTCAGCAGGAAAACAAACGCCAGTGTAAATAAAGTTAGTGATGGTTGAATTTCATTTAGCCGCCTCGGCTGCAGGATCGGTGCCTGCTGGCTTTTTTCCCCCACTGTCATGATTTAGCAGAGAAACTTAGAGTACAGCAGAGTTGTCACTAATGTTGTTAGTTGCACCTGTGCTTTCTCCTTGAAGAGGAAAATGGTTTGAGACAGATGGTGTTTGGTAGTAAAAAAAAACTTGACATGTTTGTTTTTTGCTTTGCTTTCTAACCATTTATCCAAAGACTTCTCAAGTTCCCCCCTGCACTGAAAGGCTTTTGCGTAATGCTCACATATTTTATAAGTTTCAGAAATCAAGAGATGTTTCAGAAAGTTGAGGTTTTTCACCTCTGGAAATTTTCCAGAACTTTCCTCGACTTTGATTAACACTCTCTCAATTTTCCCTGAGCCTTAGCATCTCGCCTCCTAATGATTGTAATGTGATGTGGAAGTGAAAGCTAAATCTGTCACTGAATGCCTGAGATATTAGACATATTGTGTAACTCCAGTTTGAAGTCTTTGGTTATTGCAGCACTTTCACTGGTATCCATAGACAAAGTTTTCTCAATTTTTCTGGAAACAAATTTAGATATTTTAAAATATTCCCAGGAGTGAAAAATACAGCCATTAATCATAAACTGGATGCCGACCAGCTGCATATGTTGTTAGGTTATCTTTTTCTATCAAAAGTATTAAAATCATGTACCTACTGATTACAGCAAGTATTTTTTAAGTCGAAAGCCAAAATGACATAAATTTAGACTTTTAACCACCGTAGAAAGTTTTGTGCATTTTTACTCTGTTTGCCAACCTGGCAGTTCTGCAGTCAAAAAGTTAATCAAAGCAATGCTCACTACTGAACACCAGGGGGTGCTGAAGTCCTACAGAAGACCAGTTAATGGAGACTTTCTTCCTCTCTGCTGCCACTTTTAAGTGTAAAAGCATCATTAGTTTTTGTCTGTTCTCTTGTTCTGCCTCATAATAAACCCATTATTCCTTTGGCTGACTACGCAGGATCACACAAGTATTTTGCTCGTCAGACAATGATGAATTGATTTCCTACAAACAGCCCGTTTCTTTAATCTTCAGATTGCCATTAGCTTTTCGCCACAGAAAAGGTTCTGCTGCAGCAGAGGGCATCTTCCTGTAATATTTCCTCTCATCACAGCTCTCTGTACTGTCAATGACATCAGCATCGGGTTCAGAGGAAACACAGAGGCTGGGTGATGCAGACATGTGACCTCATCAGTCAAACCATGGCACTTTATTCTCTTCACACAGTGCATTTCCTTAAAACACAATATATATATATATAATTTAATAACAATATAAAACTCCATTTGTGTATATAAATTATGCATTCAGTACAGCAGCTCTTATATATTCTACTAAGCTTTGGTACAGTGGAACATTTATCTCTGTGAGCGAGGCAATGTTTGAGTGTGGGAACAGCAAACCCACACCGTCAGGGGGAAAGAGGGTGAAGGTGAGGGAGTGAGGAAAAATTCATTTGCATTGAAAAAAAGAAAAAAAAAGGTTTGGGGTGGGGGCGGCAGACTTGTGCGAGCGTGTGACTTAAAACAGGAAATAAGGTATCGTCACGCCATCAATACTGCATGTTCCAAGCAGGTGCTCTGAGGTTGGTGCAGCTACTGTGATGAGGAGGTGGGGGAACCACGCAGCAATACCCCGCGTCTCCAACTCCCCCAGGCCCAGCTTTGCTTTGAGGAAAGGGCACCGAAGCGCCTCCCTGCAGGGGGCAAGACACGCGACGTTAGGGCAGATCATTTCACATGTTGTGTTAGAGCAAATGGACGAGTCAGTGGGGTGAGACAGGAAGTTACCTGAACCATGCTACACTGGTGGGAGGCAACTGGTGTGTACGTGCCCAGCACAGGCTGAGGCTGGGTGTGGGAAGACTGCTGCACCCTCACAGCAGGGGGGTAACCTGCTGCACACAGACGAACCACTGGGATTATTAGGAGCTGATTTCATCACAGAGATGAAAAAAACATACACATATAAAAAACAGTGGGCAACACAAATGTTTTGAAATTTTTCTTAACATATAATGAGTTGGGCTTTTATGATTATTACATATAAATGTTTGAATGTATAAAAGGTTTAGCAGAAATTACTGCCTTTTATGCTGAAATAAAAAAAAAACAATAATTATTAGTCACATTATTTGGTGGTAGGTTTCAATTACTTAGAATATTTTTGCTGCATTCCTTTTTCTAAAGTGACAAGTATTGTCTATTTATAACGCTATTTAGACATCATTGCATATTTAAATTTACTTGAACGTATTCTGTCTGCGTAATTACTTTTACCTTCACTCAATATGTTTTGTCTTTTTTGTGACTACTGTCCAAAAATAATGCACTTTTTAAAATAAGTTAATATTTATCCTATAGTCAGCTACTTAAAGTATTCTCCATGCAGTTTGCCAACTGTACATCTGAAATAGCATTATCTTGAAAATAGTGATTTTTTTTTTGCTTTGTCAATTTCATTTGTGTAGCACATTTCAGCAACAAGGCAGTTCAAAGTGCTTTACACCATTAAAAACATTGTACAGCAACTATGCAAAAAGCTATAAACATTACACTTAGTCAAATGCCATTGTCAAAATGATTAAATATATTGATCAATGTTCCAGTTATAATTAATCAAAAGCAACTCCAAGCAAGTTTGTTTTAAGTCTTGATTTTAAGGAACTTCGTGTTTCAGCATCGTTTTTGAGGACCGAAGGTTTCTTCAAGCAGTCGAATCTGGTTCACTTGTAAGCGCAGTGGCCTTCTTTCAGCCAGCTGACAGCCAGTGTGCAACAACTTAGTTATAATAATCATAGACAAAACTTTGGTCACTCTCATAGTTTCTTTAGCATTTCATTACAAGGACTGTGATGCTTTAAAACGTAAGACATTTTTTATAAGACCTTCATCTTCGTAACATCGTAAGATCTTCTGCTTCACATTTTCTTCAAACAATTAACACTGAATGAAAACAAAAAAAGCTGGTAAAGTATTCAACCAGCAGGGATCAGGAGGTTGAATCGTGTCCTCTCTGATGAAAGGGAACAGCAGGAAAAGAGACCGGTTCACTGTGAGACCCTCAGACTACATCTCTGACAGTGTAACGGCCCCCTCCTCTACTGCTGCAGTTTGCTCTTCCACCAAAACAAAACAAGAAAATCAGACAAGAAAGAAAGAGGGAGAACCTGCTGGTTGTGCTGCTGAGCTGCGGACATGTTGGGAGGGCGAAGTGGGCCTGAATCCAGGCTGGGCTGAGGTAGGGTAAACGTACACAGGCACCTATTGGACGACATTAGTGCGGCTGAATATTCGTTTCTGAGTCTAAAGTGAAATATACAAGGCAGAAAAGGTGTTTGCCTTTACCTGCGGTGAGGGCTGGCAGTAGTTGGGCAGGTTAGGAGGGGCAGGAGCTGCATAGATGTAACCCTGACTGGGAGGGTAGATGGGAGCGCTGTCTCCTGTGGACGGGCAGCTCACTGTCACGTGAGCAAACTGTGAGGAGAGATCTTCAACCTGTCAAGTCCAGAGAAAGGAGGTCAGTACACACAGACACACACAGACGCACGCAGTGGGTCACTCAGTGATACATACTGTCGAGTATGGCTGTGAGGGGGTGACGGGTAACATCTGGGGAGCTGAGTAAGAGACAGACGAGTACTGAACCACCTGAGAGACGGATGGAGACACAGATAAACATGAGCCCGTCAGTGCGAGCGTGTCTGGCATGTGTGACATCAGTGTTTTCCAGGTACGACAAAAAAATTGTTGCAAAAACATTTCTCTACCCCATTTCCCATCCCAATGCCTATAAGAATCTTTTTTTTAATAAATTCATGGAAAACTTCAGTTTTTAATATTTTAAACCGAAGGTCAGGGTCAAAGAACTTTGGAAGGTTGAGATTGTGTCCACTGCAAAAACACAATCCGAGTATTTTTGGTTTAGTTTCTAGGGCAAAAATAAATTGCAACACATTGCAGAAGCTTTTCAGGAAATACTATCTTATTATTGATAAAAAGGAACAAATTGTAAATTAAATAATCAGCTAGTGGAACACGACACTTTTCCCACTTTATAACATAATGTGGGAGAAATATATTTCTGACACAGCTGGGTTTTCTAATAAAAACTCATAATGTCATGTTTTTCTCATAACAAAAAAAATGATGGGAAAAATGTCTTGTTCCACTGGCAGATTATTTAGCATGTATAACTAGTCCCTTTTCATCAATATTAAGGAATTATTGACCTAACAAAAACTCACATATTGTGCTGAAACGTTACTTGTAGTTTATTTTTGTTTTATTCCAGATGTGCAAAGATATTTGCAGTAGAAACTAGACAAATAATACTTGTAAGAGTTCATGTTTTTGCAGTGTGTCGTGTATAATATCAGTGTTTTCCAGATTTATGAGTCAGAAAAGTAGTTGCAAAACATTTCTAGGCCATATTTCCCATCCTGATATGCCGTGTCCGTTTCTAAAG